TGTTTAGCTTTCATTGATTCCCAATTACTTTTTTAAATGTATCATAAAACCGCTCTGAACGTTTATTCCTTGTACGCTATCACACTCATTTATAGTTTTCAAATAAATATTTGCACAAGGAATCGTAAATACTAAGATTACAAATTATTTACACATTTCGTCGCCACGAAATCGTCTTTCGATGTACAAAGTAATTCATTCTAGAATTTGCTATAATATTATATGATTCAATCATATTCGCACATATGACTTTAAATTATATTTTGAAGAGTTCAGAAATACTACAGATGTTTGATACTCATAGATACTATGTACTTGTGGCATTATTTATGAATAACATGTAAATTAGTAAAATCCGTAACTATTAGTGCAGAGGTCAATGCGACTATAACGAATTAAGATATTGGTCATTCGTGATTGGAGCTTGATTTTTTAGTGAGGCTCTTCAGTGCCCAGAGTGCTCAATTGTTTAAAATAATGTGGATATCGTCAACTCAAGAATGTTAAATAATATAGATAACTTAGACAATACCATAAAATAAAAAGCTAAAATGTCAAAAGGATATAAAGTTAAGTATACAAATATATGAAGTTAAAAGACAAAAATAAAAAAGTAAAGTACATATCATTGCGTATACTCGTCCAAAAGCGTACTCTATTTTAAGACTGCGCATAATGAAAGTCGTATCTACAGAAAAAACATTAAAATCCTGCGCGACAGTTTACATTTCTAATTACTTTTTCAAAAAAGTAATTAAAAATCGAAGAAAGCTAACATCGTTTTCCATGAATCGATCCACGCAAACATAAACGAGATCAAGGTGATTTAATCAGCTGGATCGATTAGCACTTTTTTTCTCATTAAAAAATTCCTCCGCGACAAAGAAAATCTGCATTTACTGTATATCTACATTAACTCTAATCGCAAAGTATCGGCAACAGAAAAATTGAATTTTATTTCCATTAGAAAACATGAAATACACGAGTCTATAATCGCAATAAAAATGAGATATCGAAAGTGAAAGTAGATTCGATAAGAAAAGACTGAAACGATCCGATCCGCCGCGGAAGGTATCGAAAAATCCGAGCGATTCAGCGTATCACGAGCAGAACGCATCGAGCACGCAACAAATTCGGCCCGTCGTGGCCCCGGCGCGGCTATAGAACACGTGAGAAATATCGTGTAACTATCGAATTAGCAAAATTCTTACATAGAATCGGCGAAGACGTGGAGGGTACAGGGGCAGGGACCCGAGATGCACGCAACGATTCCGCATCGTTTCTACGACCTAGGACCCTCGGCGGCAGCCGAAAAGAGACGCAGCTACGGGCGTTTCTCGCGTGAAAGTAGGAGAACGCGAGACGTGGTCGAAGACCAACGAAGGGTGACGGAACGAGCCGAGGGGACTTTGGTTAACGAGTGCGGGCGAGAAAGAGACCGGCGAAATTACGGATAGTGGTGGGAAAGGGATGGAAAACGGAGTCACGACAGCCCAATAGGGGGGAACCGAGTGTGACGCCAGCGGAGAGGGTCACCGGTGACGGTGGCGCCCCCTTAGCGGTCCAAGCCAGAAGGTAAGGTTAGTCAGTCGCCAGCCGTCCGAGGACGATACACGTTCTGGTCGCGTCTCTGCCGATCTCACCCTTCCAGTCCACCGACGACCCTGGGAAATACGCGCGAAAACAGGTGGCAACGCGGTTACCAGTGACATTACACAGTGCTCGAGAAGTGTTTCGGACCTAACCGCGGTGAACGCAACGCGATACTAATTGTCAGCTAGTTTCGCGGCGTGTGCTGTGTTCCGAAAAGACCGGCAAACGCGCGCGGCGTGTTTCCCGCACCCACGAATTTGGATACTTCGCGAGTCGTTCGGTAGTGCTGCTGGGAACGTGGATGGAATTGTAACTGTTAGGGAAGTGTTTCAACGAGCGGGGAAATGCGTCGGGAAATTCCGACGAAAATGCCGCGCTGAGGGGTATATCGTCTCTCGAGGTTTGGCAACGCCTGGTGTCCCTCCGGTCGACCGTCATGGCTAGCTCGTCTGTGATCCGACGTAACACAGGATAGAGGCAATTTGTGCGAGTTTAAGAGAGTTTAAAGCACGCTTGCCGCATTGTCACGCGGAACGGAACAGAACGGATCGGTTAGGATCGACGCTGGAACGGAGATTCCAGGCTGCGTGTGCCGGCGACTCACGAAGTGAAAACACCGAAAGCCGCGACGAAAAGTGACGCGAGCGAGCGTGAGAAAAGGCCGGGGTACGTTTCTCTCTACGGCGGCGAGGGACGGCTGAGATACACACTCGCAATACGCTCCACCCGTGCCTCTGCGTGTCCTGTGTAGTACAGTGTTTGCTTCCCCCCCTCCTAGTCAATGTAGACCTACGGTTTATTTTGTTACCAACTTCGTGCACTTTGTTTGGCCGTCGATGTTCGATTACAATCCGAAGTGACATCGACTCTGGATTTAAGGGGTGCAGACGATTAGACGCAATCGCGCGGAACGTTGTACGTTGGTCCAGTTTTCGACAGATTTTCATTGAGTCGAACGTCGAATGTTTTTTCGCGAAATGTCGGGTACGATTTAAAACGAGGGCGCGGTTTGAAGATGGAGGCTTCGAAGACTGCGCACGAGTCCCAGGCAGTAAAACGGAACACGCTGGTGTCAGAATCGGACCGGTGACAAATCTCGATAAGGGCTGGAAGAGACAGTGCCCGGCGTAGCCGCCATTTTTCGTCCTGACGTTTCTACGGTGATATCGTGTCGCGTTGTCGACACGGTTGGATACTTGCTGGCCCGACGACCGCAATTTCATTTTCGGTTCTTGTGATACGGAACTAGTGTGCAATTGGTAAACGTGTGAACTTGTGCATCACTCGAGGATTACCCTGCGAGCATCAGTGTGAGGTGTAAAACGTGGATGTGTTTATTTTGTCTCGTGATCGTTAACGGAAACAAATCTCGAGGGAGCATCGTACAGTCGTTCGATAGTTGTTGATGATGGTGGTTCTCGGAAATGGAGTAAATACACCGCGTGTTCCCGTCGAAATATGAGGAGAGCGCTTTTCTGCGAGCCGAGGGAATTGATTTCGAGCGAAAATGTATCTCACGCGTCTGTTCTTGGTGCTCCTTCTGGCTGCGAGCTCGAGGTGCGTTACGCTTTAAATCGTCCCGCCATTTTTCCAAAACACAAGTATAACCTACGCGCTATTATCGTGGTTTTTGTAACGCGAAGCATTTATTTACGATACGGTATTACAATACGGTGCCACATGTTCGATCGTCTAGAATGCAATCGCATCTTTATTTTTCTTGTTTAATTGGCGCGTATAAACACGCGGCTAAAAAATGTTGCGCCAGGCGTAAAAAGACGGCAGCATACAAGAAACCGGTACTATAAATATTGATCGTTTGAATGGATACCGTGGTTCATTGGTCTCGCGCTGCCTTGATGACAGTTAATGAACGGTAGAACTGTGAGAAATTGATCGAAATGCATCGAGTTCCCAGTATACGTTCGTTACGCAAACGTTCGTCCGCGGCTTCTGGAGATTTAAACTATAAAGACTGGCATTTAAAATTGTTCTATGACAAATACTGCCAATAATTTTTAGTTTTTAATTAAATTCAATGTTCAGTTCTTTTTATAGCCTAATTTTTGTACCATATTATGAACGATACAAATTGAGCACTTTTATTTGATATAGAAATACTATATATATATAATAATAATAATATATTATATATATAATAATATTTAATATATATATATATATATATATATATATATATATATANCTACGCGCTATTATCGTGGTTTTTGTAACGCGAAGCATTTATTTACGATACGGTATTACAATACGGTGCCACATGTTCGATCGTCTAGAATGCAATCGCATCTTTATTTTTCTTGTTTAATTGGCGCGTATAAACACGCGGCTAAAAAATGTTGCGCCAGGCGTAAAAAGACGGCAGCATACAAGAAACCGGTACTATAAATATTGATCGTTTGAATGGATACCGTGGTTCATTGGTCTCGCGCTGCCTTGATGACAGTTAATGAACGGTAGAACTGTGAGAAATTGATCGAAATGCATCGAGTTCCCAGTATACGTTCGTTACGCAAACGTTCGTCCGCGGCTTCTGGAGATTTAAACTATAAAGACTGGCATTTAAAATTGTTCTATGACAAATACTGCCAATAATTTTTAGTTTTTAATTAAATTCAATGTTCAGTTCTTTTTATAGCCTAATTTTTGTACCATATTATGAACGATACAAATTGAGCACTTTTATTTGATATAGAAATACTATATATATATAATAATAATAATATATTATATATATAATAATATTTAATATATATATATATATATATATATATATATATATATATATATATATATAATAATATATAATATATATATATATATATAATAATAATAATAATTTCTAAAATATATTCTATTTAAAAATGAAAGATTATTGAGAAATGTAAATGTCATAAAAAAAATACAAATTCTACACTATTTCTCGGTTCAAATGCATAAATTATCAAGATGCTCAAAAATTTGCACACTGCTGGAGTTACATTCTTTTTTTTCAGCACCTACTGTCTCATGCCTATTATTAATTTTCGTGATCAATAGATAAGAATTTAGTGTCAGAAATTACATACCGTGCCTGTCGCCAAGAGCATTTAATCATAAGGCGACTACAAAGTTCCCAAAGCATAAATTTGAGATTATAGAATGTAATGCCGGCAGAGTACAACTTTGCAACCACCCAAAGGGATGGTTACCGGGTCTCGTACTCGCAATTATCCAGGACGCAGCCTGTAATTAACGCCCGGTGACTGGATCGTGCGGAAAATGCGAACGTTAACTATTTATTTATCGCCGGCGTCGATCGCGATTTCATCAGACCATTTAATCGATCCACATCGTATACACGTACACCATCGAAGCTGGTGATTTTAACGAGTCGTTTTCGATTGCAGATGCATGTGCTCGAGCGGATATACTGGCCAGAACTGCGAGAACGAGTATATTCCCTGCAAACCGTCGCCGTGTAAAAATGGGGGCACGTGTCACGAGATTAACGGTTTGGAGTACGAGTGCAAATGTCCTGAAGGTAAGTTCTGAATTCCTCCTTTTATTAACTACGTTTCGTCCGAGACATCGCTTGAGATCATCGAGAAACTTCGTGCTTCGAATCTGTACTTTCAACCATCAAAAATTGATATCATTTGTATGATACGTTGTATGACTCTCGATTGCGGATTTTTACGCGTAATAAAAATTGGCTGCATTAGTTGCAAGAAATAGAAACTAAATAGCAAGTTCGTTTCTTCTCTGATCACTTTAATAGATCAAAAATAAGACATTGGTATTTTTAAATTCTTTCAATCTTTCTTCGATTTTAAATTACAACCACCCAAGTTTATTATAAATGCATAAAATCCGCAATCTGGTCATGACAATGTAGGTTTGTTCGTGTAATTTTGGATGCTGGTTGTAAAACGCTGGTAGTTTGATAGTAGAATCGTCTTTTATCGAATCTCTTCGTGTCTTGACGTACAATTCCGTAACATCCTGAGTTAATGTGATAATTTTGGTATCTTCAAAGATATGCATGCTTTGCGTAGAAGTTGTAACTAGACGGAGGATGTTTATGTAGAATGAAGATTCTAATTGAGATATACATAGACGATTTTCTCTTTATTTAATTATTTCATTGCGTTTAAACAAATGGAACAGTATTTTCCGAATTCTTCAAATGTTTTTGCTGTTCTGTACACGATCTACACAGTTTTGTCGTAAATGTGTAAAATCCGCAGTCTGCTTAAGCCTGAGGATCACTATTGTGTCGGTATTACATGGAATTTAGTTTACGTTAACAAATCTGCATCCTACAGACTTTTAATCCAAACAAAAATGTTATGCGTCGATCGCAATAAACAGCAAATGCGTAGACATTTATTTCTGACTCGACTAATTTTTCAAAATGTCGAATCCTTCTAATAGTGTCACTGTTGTGTTTCAACCACTCATCGTTGTTATAAATGCATAAACTCCTCAGTCTAGTTACGAGCATTAACGTAGTGCTTAACCCGAGAAAGATAACCTACGTCGCAGAGGCGCCTGCGAAGACTGTTGATTTTTGTTAATTTTTCATAGAGGTCTAGTGATTTAAGTTTAAAATTACTTAAAATATAAAAAAATATAATATAAATGCATTTTATTTTTACAATAATGCCAAACCTTTAAAATGACTAGATTAACTTAAATAAATATCCATTGTTAGTATAAAATTGACGCCTTAGAAAAGCATGCGCCTCTGAAGCGTATGGTTATCTTTTACGTACGTTGTCATATGGTTATCTTTCTAGGGTTAAATACTTTTGCAAATATAAATAGCCTCTAAGATGTTCGCTATTTCATAAGCAACAACAGCAGGCTGTCTGCTAGAACCGAACGTGTTTATAAACATCGACTATCGTCCCGAAACGATTCGTTAAGGCTACAGTGTCAAGTGTCATAGGATCGATTGACACAGACAAGATCGTTGAAGAAATTTTCACGAAATCCCGGAACGCGTCCGAGAAGAAACGGCGGCCGAGATTAGGGGTGCGTCTCGGAATTTCGGCGAAGTAGGCATCTTTTCGAAGGAGCCTCGCGTTCCACTCTGTTTACCGCGGGAAGAAAGTTCTCGTGTTTGCCCGTTGCGCAACCTTGTCCCGGCAATGAACGAAGGAGGGCCCGTGGTAGCTAGAGGAGGGAGACAAAAGAACGTCCGCGGGGCAATGATTAGTCGGCGCAACAGGTACAACTTAAGCCAGGGGTGGTGGCCATTTACGTCTGTGTGTGCACGGTGGATGGTTAATGTAAAGCCTAGGGTCAGCCTAGCGTGGCCTCCTCGGTGCTCGGATCACAATGCGTGGTCCTGTCGTTCCCAGGCGGACCACAACCATGGCGACCCCACCTTCTTTCGCTTCTTCCACGCCGCGCCGACCTTCCGTCTTTCACGCCGCTCTGCCTTCGGTCGCGCGCCTTTTCCCGTTAAAGAAGCGCCCCCTCCGACTTTTCCGCTGGCTTGCTCCGCTCGATGAGTATCCGTCCGTGGACGTCTGACACGGTTCACACTATCAGCGCGCTCCGCTCGATGTCTGAATAAATAGGCTTGTTCGGTTCAGGGGGTAATGCGGTGTAACGTCTTCGCGATAAGCACGCCTCTTTTTACCCCTTTTGCGGTTTTCTCACAGCTTGGAACTATCGCTACGCGGGGCTTATTCAAATTTCGGAAAACTGCGAGCGATGTTACTGTCAGTCGAATGAGAACGTCGATCGATTTGAGCACGAGGAATGACAAGTAGATGGCGAATTTTTATGCGAAATGAAATTTGTCTGAATAATAAACTGCAATACACAGGAGCTACATTTCTTTCCTCAACAATTTTATTTAACACCAATTAAGAATTTTATTAATCCGTGACTTATACGTACACACTGATATTTTTCAGTTCACTTGATCTGTCCACTGTTTTAAATCGTATCTACTCGTTTTCGTCATAAATTCGTAAAACTCACGGTTATTATTAATCAGTGGACTACGGATGTTTATGCAAAATAAAAGTTGTCTAAGTTCGTTGCAAGGTGTCGGATAATATTGTGTTTCTTGGTTTAATAATTTTAACCCTCTATGGGCCCATGTAACTTTCAAGTCACAAGCTAATACATCCACATTTTACCAAATAGTTTTAGTTTTTTTCACAAAATGATGTATACGTCTTAATTATATAATGCCTCTGAAATAACCAATAACAATATTGATGACGGTTGGCTGCATCATCAACCTGAAATGTCAAAATAAATACCTTGCAAGTTGTCTGCAGATAGAAACCAAAGGGACCATATTGTGCAATTGAGATTATTTGTGCTTTTGTCGGTGTTTACTAAATAAAAAAAGCGTATATAATAGCTCTGGGTTCGTATATCAATAACAATTTATTTATTTGCATTTCAATAATCATTTTGTTACTATTTGTATATGATACAGTT